TCCTGCTGTTAAGTGACATTGCCACCGCGCCAGCAGGGACGCTGCTGTGGCAGGCAGTGGCGCTAATTGCCTTCCTACCCAGCTTGCTCCATCCCTCCCCTTGCCCATCACAGACAGGATATATGCATTAGCTCACACTTCCAGGCTATTTCAGGCTGCTCCAAGGCAGGAACTTCCAGAGACAGCATGTAAGATTCACCTCTCTGATGAAAAAATGTTGCTTTGCCCTGGGAGACAAGCCTGAGCCCACCCTGGCAGCCACTTCCAATATGGATGAGGGAGGTCAGTCCAGGGGACAATGGACAATGCCATCCTTGCACCAACAAACCCAACACTAATTATTTGGCAATACCTACAAACTTTTCATTCCTGTCCCCAGAGCCCCATCATTTAACCACATCAGAGCAGGCACAGATGTCTGCGTGGGTTTTTGTTTTTTTTTTTTTTTTTTTTTTTTTTTTTTTTTTTTTTTTTTTTTTTTTTTTTTTGCCCCAGATCCTAAAATCCTGTGATGGTGGGAGCACTTCTGCTTGCACTTCCAGAGAAGGATGCTTCCAGCCTTTGCAAATGCTCACGAACATGGCCCTAATGCTTCCAATGCAGAAGAGGAAGGAGAGAACTCAACCACATTATTAGCTTTAAATATCTCATGACCTTTTACTGCAAATCTCAAGATCTGAGGTGCAGCCCGCCTCACGGTTCGTTAACATTTCATGTTGTCAGCGCGGCCAATGGGTTCAATTAGACTTCAGGACGGCATCTGCAAATTGCTGGCAACCCACAGTAGGAAATCCTCCCTCGGTCTGGCCACCAGCTCTGACGCTGCATAAGAAATACCTTCTTGAGCCTTGCCACATTCCTGGGACGTGCATCGAGCTGGCAAGCGCTCAACGCACGTGATCTCCCTCCAAGAACTGTGAAAAGGGGGGATCCAGCTCCAGAAAATGCCATGGGAAGGGAGCAAATCGGGTGCAAGACCTGCCCGTGCTCCCCAGAGATGCTGAGGATGGTGTCTGGCCACCCGCCTGCGTGTAGGGGCGAGCGTGCAGATGTGCTCGCAGGGAGATCGCATGTGTGAGTGCCGCAATCGCTGCTGTTGCGAGTTAACTGAAGGAGCCTGTAAAACCAGAAACAGGCTATTAGCAATCCATTAGGAAAGGGTATCCAGTTCCAGCCTAGGTAAGCCATTAGAGGAACATCTGAGAGCATTAGGAGAGCTCGCTTGGGGCCAGGATGGGGCTATAAAACAGAAGAGGAAACCACGCTAATCTGGCTTGAATTACAAACTTAAAAGCGGGAGAAAAATAAAGGATACCCTAAACATTTAATGTTTTATATTTAGGAGACAGAAGGGGAGATTTTGCCAAAAGGAGAGAATAAAAAACCTGTTTAGGCTACAAATATCCATCTCTCTTCTGGCAGCAGAGAAACCACTAGCCCCTCTTCCAGAAAGGGAGGAGTGTGATTTTAAAGTTCCTTGAGTTTCAGAGTGAGCTCAGTGCTGATGGGGTGGAGGAGAATCTTGAGCCACATGATGTGACATGGTGTGACATGGCTGCATCCCCCAACAGCTACAAAGTGCTCGTGCCCAGGCTCAAGGGAGCTGCTGTGAGGTGGCACGAGCCCGCACGTGCTTCACTGCATGCCCATGTGCAAACTCATCATCATCATCCCTCCATGATAATCATTCCCAGAGCACATCACCGTAATTCCCAGAGAAAACTGCAACATGAGAGCTGCTAAGTGGTCTGGGTGGAAAGGTGCTACTGAGCAGGGGAAAGGGACTGCAAATGGCACGCTGGGGCTCAAACCCTATTTGCAAAGCACTGGGAAGGATGTTCTCCCCATTGCTGGGTCAGCCCCAGAGATTGCTTCATGGTGGGGGATGCTTGGTCCAGGCATCACTGGACTTTTCTCTGGAGCAGGGGAAACTGCATTTATGGCCAGCTCACACAGTGGCAGTCTCGATAAGATCCACTGCTCCCGCCAGGGATGGCTTCATCTTCTGGTGCCAAGCCCTGGCATTATTAAAATCCTGAAAGGAAGAGCCTGGAAGAAAGCAGACGCTGATTGAATCAGGCCCTATGGTATTCGACAGCTCGACATCCATCTGATCCTATTAGTGCTCATTCGGTCCTGCCTGCCGAGGTGCTGTGCATAAATCAGACCCTGCAAAGATAACGGGAGGTGGAGAGGTGAAAGAGGAGCTGCTTCTTCTGCCAAGAAACACCACGTGTGAGCAGGGCCTGCATGGATATTGTCTCTGGGCAGCCTTGGATGCTCCTTTGTGGGTTTTCTCCTGCAGGGACGCTGGGCTCCCCACAGGGCTGCCAAGTGCCTGCTTAAAACCCACTGCTGGTGCAGAGGTGGGTTGCCATGAGGGGGCAGGGACAGGGCTCAGCCTGTGGACCCTGGGCAGACAGGGCTGTGCCAGAACATGAGGTTACCCAACTCCTCCTGACTGCTGGCAGGAACTTCTCCTCTCCCTGCTGAGCTCCAAGCTGCCCCATTACCAGCGTGCAGGTTGTGTGGGCATAAAAAGCAAGGACTTCTCTGTGCCAGCTGCCAGTGGGGACAGCAAGAGCCAAGATGGGGGGCAGCTCGTGGCAAGAGCCCCACGAGAATTTAGACACCTGCACCTTCATGAGAATTAAGACACCCTCATGCAAGCGTGGCACGTGTGACCACCTCATCCTTTCTCAGGGCACTCGTCCTTTTGAGTTGAGACCAACAGCACCACTGCAGGACAAGAGGGACAGATGAGCTAGACTTGGACCTACCAAACTATGTCCTTCCCTTTCCTGTTTTAATTTGGGGGAACAGGGACACCCTCCAAAATAACAGTAAGTCAAACAAAGAGTTCAGGGAGGCTTGGGCATGCTCCCAGCATGATAACATTGGTGGGGTTAATTTTAGGTACAAACACCTGCATTTGCAGGGTGCTCAGCTGGGCTAAGCAGGTTGATTGTACCAGTGGGGTCTGGGGTCAGAGCAGCTCCAGCTGCTGCAGCACTGCCTTTCTCTGGTGTTTGGGAAACGATTGAATTAGGCTTCGCAAATAGTTCATCTGATGAATAGTGGCAGTTTTCCTCAAATCATCCACAAATCAGATTTTTCATTAACCAGCCAGCAGGGTAGGGACTCAGAAAACAAGGCTGGCACCTCACTCACTGAATGCTTGCACTTGCTCACTGAGCAAATTATTCCCCAAATGCTTTTCTCCATCAGTCAGTGATCAGGAACATGTCTTTTGCAAGGGGATATTGATTAAAAGCTGTACCCAGGACTGCTGCACCTTCCCAAAATGCTAGAAAATGAAACCGTTCCCAGCCATCCTTGTACCCACCAGGAGAGCTGGTACCTTGAGTTCTCTCTGCATCTCATGGTATTTTTACATAGAAGAAGTAAGGTTTTTGCTGCCCAAGAACTGTCTTTACCAACTAGGATGGCCCTGCCACCAGTGTCACCACCACCTCACCTGTCACTGCCTGCCTGAGGGAGCTGATGGAGAGGCCACAGCATCCCCTCAGGGCTCTGCCAGAGGGGACTGGCATGGCTTGACTCTGCAATTATGGTACCCCACACCCAGTGACGGAGGGACCAGCCACCCCGAGGGCGTTGAGGCAGGAGGTAGCTCAGTGGCTACCCCACCATTTTTGGGTGCAAACCAGGGTATTTGGCTGGGTCAGGCTGTGACAGAGTAAAACCACCAGCTTTTCCCACAACAGTTGCACACCTTGGGAAAAAAATCAGTGCTCTGTTTGGCAGTTCCCACTAAATCTTCCCCTTTTTACACAGCTTCTACAGTTTGAGTATTCCTTCCCCAGATGAAAAAAAACCATACCTATAGAAAACTAATACCCAAACTTTCTAACCCCTCTGGATGCTCCACAGATGCTCTCCCACTACTAGGAAAAAAGCAAAGGGCAAAGAGGCAAGCAGGAAAACCATCTTATTTTCAGAGCCACCAGGAAATACCGCAATTTGAAACACAACCTGTGGTGCTGCCTCATCAAAAATCCCTAGCAAATGCAAGAAGTTACCAAGACACCTCGCAGAGCCACAAGCAAAAACTCCCATCCACTCCTCCAACATTTCTCTCTCCAGGAAGTGCTGGCTGGAAGAAAATCCCACCTGCCTCTTTGATGAAGGTGCCAGGGACCCAGTGCTGCCTCTTATTTCACTTTTGGTGTTTTTAGCAAAATCCTTTATCAAGCAAAGCACCTAACTGGCTTTCAGCTGGCCCAGCTTGAGCACAGAAGGGATGCTGGATGAGCTGTGGCAGAGCAGCAGCACCTCCTCTCCAGCCACAGAATGCTTTCCTACCCAACTCAAGCATAAAAGCAGCACACAGAGGTTTAGGAAAAAAAAAAAAAAAGGAAAAAAAAAAAAAAAAAAAAAAAAAAAAAAAAAAAAAAACCTTTTTTTTTTTCTCTCTCTAAAAAAAAAAAAAAAAAAGCCTGTTTGTTATCTTCCTGCAGTAACAAATGAAATCTGTCCTCCTCCAGGCTACCAAGGATTTCACTGACTATTTTTTTTTTTAAAGAAACAAGAAATAAAAGTAAGAAATACGATAAGATCTCAGCAATTGCTCAGTGACTGTGCTCTGAGTTATAGTGAGCGGTATTTTATCTCCAGTTCAAAATCTAAATGTGGCAGAGGCACATTTAAATGTGGTGACATTTATACTTTAAATGCCTTTTACATCTCGTTGGCAAGTTTTATATAGAACATATGTATGGAAAGTAGATAGGGGCCATGGATGAAAATGCGGAGCAGGGAGAGGCTGCAGAGCCATTTGCAGGCAGAGTGTGAGCTACAAAAAAGGTGGAGAGGAAGAGAAAAGCAATGAGAAAGAGAAGGAGAGGAACAGGGTCCAGGTTGCCTGAACAGTAAATATATATATTTTTTGTCCCTGAACACGTTTTTATAATGCAGCTTGTTCCCAGACAGCAGCTCGCCCCTCTCCCTCGCATGCCAGGCAGTGCAGCATCACTCACATGTTGCCACTGGTCCAGGATGAGAGGCCGATACCGCAGGAAGAACTTCAGCGGGAAGGACTCAGGGTCAGGCCACGATGAGGGGTTTTGCCATGACACCTCCAGTCTTCGAGGGTTATTGGGCACAGGTTTGGCCACCACACTCTCCGGAGGGTCTGGCTTCACTGTAAGAGAAGAAAAAAAGGGGGATTGGCAAAGCTTTGCATGTGGCATGCTTCCTTTGTACCCCTTGGCAAAGCTGTCTGGGCTTCGCACCATGTGCTCTCCAAGAGGAGCAGCCAACACGCATCCTTTCCCCAAACCAATTAGATGCAAATCACCTTTTGTTGTCCCGGTCAGTTGTACGGCTGTCCTGGCTCAAAATCCCACCATTACAGAGGTGACAGCACTGCAGACACGTGGAAACAACTGGGCCATGGCAGAGAGCGTCCCTCCTGCACAGGGCTAATTGGATCAGGATGAGGAGCCCACCATGCCAAAATCTTGCACTTCCCTGGCAGCTGCTGATTTCTGTGAGTCTGACACACATTCAAGCCCACTTGCCTCACAACAATGGGGCAGAGTTTGGCCCCTGGGCTCAGGGCTGGGGTTTTGAGGATTCAAAGCACTGGCACATCGTATTTGCCCTGGTCACCTTCCACCCCAGCTCTCTCTCTCACTGCCCTGCTCTGCTTTTGGGATATGGGAATATTTTCTTGCTACCTGCCATGTATTTCAGGTGAATATTAATTGGCTGTGAGCTATACAACGTGCTTTGATGTTGCAGCTACTTCCAGAGTGCCGGAAGCTCATCACAGACAGGCTGTGATGAATGTCACTGCCTGTTGCAGAGCAGTCCTTGCTCCTTGCCAAGGGTTTGATCAAATCCTGACAGCTCAAACTCCCAACTGCAATAGCAAAGCTGAAAAAATTTGTGTACGCCCATGCTTATCCTTTAATCATGGTCAGGAAGGAGCTGGACACATGGAGCTAGGCACACAGCTGTGCCAGAGGTGGATGAAGGCTCTCTGTGCACTCCAAAAATAGCAATGCACATGAGTCTTCCTGTCCTGGGAAGGCACTTAACCCCGTTCCAAGTCCACAGGCAGGCAAGTGGATCCCTCCTGACCTGAAAATCTCTGGATTGAGCAATGGTCCCCAGGCTCTGACCGCCTTAGGCAGAAGCCTGTCAAGATGTCAGCACCAAACTCCCCTCCCCAGGATGGGGGAGGGATGATGGGGCTGTGGGGAGCCCCTTCTGCCTGGAAGAGTTCCTGCCCTGCAGTCAGAGGTCTTCTTCATGCTGACTCCAGGGTCCACCTGCTGTGGGTGGGAAGTGATGCCCTCACTGAAGCTTTGCTTACCCTGAGAGAGGAAGGAGGTGGTGGTGAGTGAGCTGCTCCCTCACCACCTGAGCCTGCCTGCAGCCCTGCTCTGGGTGTGAAGGACATCCTTCCCTCACTCAAATGGGATCAGATGCTGATGCGTGGCCAGTCTGGGGCAAGTGCAGTCACATGTGAGCTGCTTGCTGCCACCCCTGCTCCAGAATGATGGTGGCTTTGCAGCAACTGTCCCTGCAGCGCCACCGCTTGCTCCTCTCAGGAGAAACCAGCCTGTGATGCTTTGAGAACACACTTTCTTGTCTGCAGGTGAGGCAAAAAGGTGCTCAAGTGAAGCCACAGCCCAGCTACCTTAGTGGGACCTGTTTCCCCCAACACAGCCCAACTCTACCTCTGTCTCCCCAGCCTCCTCTTGCTCAGCACCCCTGCACACACCCTGCTGCTGTCCTTTATCACCATCATCTTCACCACCACACTGGCTTTCACCACCTCCCCTCTGTCACAGCAGGTGCCAGCAGGGCTGGAGAGCTTCCTCTTCCCAATGTCATTTCAGGCTCAGAGGATGGTCACCTGTGAGCCTGACTACAGGTGCCAACTCTCACAGACTCCTCTCTGTGGCAGGATGGGGCACAATTTTCCATTTACAGCTTTATCCTCGGCAGCAGGAACGCTTCGCTGGGGCTGTGCTGTGCTGAGCTACTCCAGATGGCTCTGCAATTCCACTGCTCACTTCGAATCCCAGGGCTGGGGCTGGACATCAGCTTCCATCGACAGGGACTTGGAGTCCAAACACATACGGAAAAGTATAAATCCAGCGTTGGCTCAGCAGGATGGGTTTGCAAAACAAAAGTCTGTTTGGCTGAACGAATGCAGATGACTGTGAACTGGAGCTCTGCAGCGAGGAAGTGGGAAGGAAAGTGCTGGGCTAGTGATGGATGCAATGGATACTCCCTGGGGTAATGCAGGGGGCCTGGACCTGGTTTTTAGTATGCCAGCCTGAAGGCATGATTAAATTCAGTTGGGCATGGCAAATGTGCTTGGGCAGCAACAAGAAATACTACTGTGACTGTTAAAGGAAGCCAGAAAAAAAAGTGCCCTGAGGCTGAGGTGGGAGTCACCTGCCCATTTTGCAGGGATGTGACCCCTAGGCCCTCTCCTGTGAGTTGGACACTGTTGCTGGTGCACAGAGGAAGGCTGCCCTGGCTTCAAGTTCATGTTCCTGGCTGCTATGAGCCTTCAAACAGCACTGCATGTTAACAGGACAACCAAAAGTCCCTGATACCTCCTCATGTGTCCCTCCATCCACAGGATTCCTGCCCAGGCTCAAGAGCACAGCAGGGCCAATTCTTCCAAAACCACAGAGCCAAAACTGTTCCTGCCATGTCCTTCCAAGGCAACAGGAACACAACAGCCAGGAGAGGGGACCATACCTCTGGCAGCCAGTCCAGGGAGGACAAACCTATGTCTCTCAGGACAGACCTCATCCTGCTGTGCTCATCACGGGAAACACCTGGACTGGTCCCACAGGGGCCAGCTGAGGAGTGAGGGGAGACAGGCTGTGTCCAGCTTTCTGATTTCTATATGACCTTGAAGGAGTCCTTTATACCCCGCAGACAGGGACGAGTGCACCTCCTTCCCCAGCCTTTGTCTGCCTCCATTCAGCCTGCACATGGTGAGGCAGGGGCTGTCTGGCTGTACATCAGCCAGCATAATAGAGCCCTGTCCTCACTGAGGGCCTGCAGGCAGTAACGTAATAAAAGCAGTAATAGTAATAATAATAATGGATGATGGGCATTAGGCTGAGTACTGGTTAAGCGGCTATAAAACCAGATGTAATATTATCCTGCAGAGCTAAGGGAGCATCATCAGACATTCCTGGGAAGGGGACTTGGCCAGGAGGCTACTCACAGCTCTTCCTGCTTGGTTTTTGGCTGCTGTGTCTAAGAGAGGGCTTGAAGTGTGAGAAGAGCACCAGGGAGCAGCTTCTCCTTAAGGCGCTGCACGCTCACGCTTAACTGCGAGTCTTCAGCTATCCATCGCCCCTGGCTGTTGTCAGACATGTCTCAAAATGAATCTGGTCGTTCAAAAAGGCAGCTGAGACCCTGTGGCATGGAGCAGCCCGTCACCCATCCCGTCTCTCCAACAAGCACTAAAATGGATCCCTTGCAGCCATTAAATATCCCCTGGCATTTTCAATGAGCAGAGGGATATTAAACTCCATGTCTTAGCCAAATGTCAGTCTAGGTAATTTAATTCTGCCTTCCTAAGTAGTATGAATTGAACTGACCTTCTGCTTAGGCAACTGTATACCTGTGTTCAAAGACTCTGAATTTCATACATACATGGGCATCATGCAGCCTCTCTGAGATGCTCTGCATCTTCATCACCCCAGAGCTGGAGCTGGAAGGATCAGATGACCTTCCCAAGGTCACACAAGGCAAGGGCAGCACATTTGACAAAGGTATCCACACCTGCAAGGCCCCATCCAAGGCTGCCTTCCTCCTTTTAATGCTGTGCATCTTGTCATATTTTTCCCCAGGACTGTATGAGGAGAAAGGTGCTGAGGCAGGATGCCAATGTTGCTGCCTGATGGTGCTGTTCTGGCTTTCCTGGGGAATGCAAAAAACCAGCTCTTGGGCTGAAACACGAGTGAGGAAGGTGTGGTTGTATCCTAGCTGGCTGAAAATGTCCCCATGCTGTTGCAGCCATCATGAAGGAGGTGGGAGCTCCATACACACCACCTCACTCCTCCCTGGCACCTTCCTCTGCCTCCAGGTCCTCTTCCCTATAGTCCCTTTTCCTCCTCTCTGAGGCTGGAGCCCTGATGTCCGTAGGGTTCTGCAGGACCTCCTCGCACTCACCTCTATTAATGTCAATATTTTTGCAGAAGATGTAATTATGAAAACAATTTGCAGGAGCAAGATGAGGAAGAAGGCAGTCCACATCTCCTACCAATAGGAGATGGGGGCCAGAGGGCTGGAAAAGCTTTTCCAGTCATCATTGAAAATGACAATGCAGAGTGACCCTTTGCAGCTGGCTGCTAATAACCAGCACGGCACAGCCGCTAGCAAGGCATGGGCTCAGGACAGCAAAAGAAAGTACCAGTCATTTTCCACTCAATTAGAGACCATCTTCCGAGCAGCCAGGGGAGGGATTTCTTCTGGCGACTTCAGGGATGGAGAAAGGAGTGAAGAAGCAAAACCAAAGGAGGTCACTCCTTCCCAGGGGGTTTTTGTGTTTGCCCAGGCTGGATGGGTAGTCTAACCCCAGCAGAGGGTCTTCTCCCAGCTCAGATGGTGCTGGGAGGGAGAGCTGCCTGCCCTGCACTGCTCTCTCCTTGGCTTCAGGTTGCTCTGTCCCCAGCAAGGCACGAGATTTGAGCTACGTGGCTGCACTTCAGCCTTCATGCAGGAGGTATGATGTTTTTCTCTAGGCTAAGGGGAAAACACAAGGCAGGCTCTGACAACCAGAGCCCAGGGATTTCTGGAGAAGCATCACACAGGTTCTGGCTGACACTGTCTCTTCATTTTAGCAGGATGTGTGCAGATGTTGCAATGTTCCCACTCAGCATTTTCTCAATGAGTAAAAGCAGCGACTTTGCCCTGAGCCATAGATTTTCCACCCTCCATCTAGCAAAGGGAAACCCAGAAAAATCTCCCAGATAAGAGCTCATTGGGCCAGCTGAGATCCCCAGAGAACCTATTGGATGCTAGATCCACACCTCCAGAACTCCCCACGCTGGGACACAGTCCTGGATTGCAGCTGCAGAGAGGAAAGCTGGAAGAGACACCGAAGCTTCAGCAAGGACTGCAGGCAACCTGGGGCAAAACCGCCTAGCAAAATGCAGCAACACAGCAATGCACTTGTTTTAACACCAGGATGGCATGAGGAGAAGTTCCACTCGGGGTAGGTGGCTGCTGTTCAGCAGCAGCAGATGCTGTAATGATCTGCTAAGCTGTGACTGCCTGCTTCAGCACTCTGTCACCACCCTGTCTGTGCTGCTGCTGCATGGCACCCATTCCAGATCCAAGGAGGAGTATTTCACACTCGTGCAGCATATGGAGATTTTAAGGGCACTGGATACTGAATTGGTTATGGGAGTGGGCTGGTGCAGGACATGGCCTCTCCTACTGGCATCAACCCATCACCTCTTCCCCAAATGCCATTCTGGAGCCAGGTGATGCCAGGTGGTGTGACCTCTCTGAGACGTGTCCTGGCACCCTGCACCCTTCCAGGCACTTGTGCAAGAGGCAGCAATAGTACACCCGTGCTAAGGGCTGGCCCAGGGCAGTGCTGGCCTCTGCTCACCACTCCTCTGACCAGGGCTGAGTTCAAACTGCTGGGCTGGATCCAGCTTTGCGCTGGTGTTGGGATGCCTGAGGCTTGCAGCTGGGTGTGCTTCCCCAGGGGAGCTGCCCTTGTGTGCTGGATGGAGGAGCAGATGTTTGGGAAGCTAGGCAGGGCATGGGTGGGATACAGATGTTACGAGAGGGTGCCCTGAACTCCTGCAGGAGGGAATGCAAGGAACTTGGAAAATGTTGCTTAATTGCTGTCCAGGGCCATGCAGGCTGGAGGTTACCTTCATTTTTAAGGAGTGTATCTTGCACAAACACAATAATTTCCATTTAAAGGCACCCAAGTGACTGAAATTCCACCACTTCCCTTCTAAGCTCCCTGCCTTGTTATTGGCATTCCCAAAGCACTGATGAACACAAGCTTCAGGTATGGACCATGGCTGCAGACACACAGCAGGACAGTCCCTGCTCCAAAGTTATTTCCCTGCTCTGTTCAGAGCTGGTGCCTTGTTTGATATTTTCCAGGATTTGGGGTACAAAGGGGAAATCTGGTATAGCAGTGGAGCTCCTCTTCTTGCGCTCCAGCACTTCCAGCTTTTCCATGCTGTGATGTGCAGCACATCAAAGGCAAAGACCAACCACTGGCTGCACTTTAATTATTCACTTATTTGTTTTTCAGGTGCAGTAATTGCCACACGCAACCAGAAAATTGTTTTCCAGTGTATTCCTGAACTCCAGTCTCTCTTATTTTTCCTGTTCTTTGAGGATGTCACAGCTGTAATCCGGCTTTGGATGGTGGCAAAAGCTCCCTGCTTTGCTGTGTTTGGCACTGGATTGCTCAGTTCATGCCCACCCTTCACAGTCAGGGGTGTATCTCTGCTCTGGGTTTGGACATGTTTGGGAAGCATCCCTGTGGCACAGCCTGGGACATGGACACCCCAGTCCACAGGGCCTGCTGCTCCCTGTCCCACACTGCACAGCAGTCCTGGTGGGGCAGTGAACAGGTGCAAAAGAAGGAATAGGGTTCTTAGGACAATATTAGGTAAGGGCTGGGGGGACTTGAGTATAGGAAAGCTTTATCCTGACTAAGGATGGAGACAAGAGAATGGGACATTTTAATGTCTCTTCCACTCCTAGTTCCCATGACTCTGCTTCCAGTACATACACCAAACCTCTCCTTTAGGGACACTCTGAGGGGTAAGAATGGCAACACCATTTGGACCTCACAATTTTCACAGCTCTCTGTCCTAATATGTGGCAGCTTCTTCCCCAGCACCCCAAGCAGGGAAGAACTCGGCAACCATGGGCGATCTGGACCACTGGGAGTGGGATCACACATGACACCAGGCCATTGATGTGACCAGCATGGAGGCTGCCTGTGGGCATCCTGCCTGGCTCCCCCAGGATGCTCAGGTGCCAGCAGGGCCCTGAGAATGGGAGGGACACAGGGGGAATGCCAGAGTGGCTCAGACCTCAACTCCATGGATAGGCAGAATCTCCACCTGGAGAGCCAGTCCTTTCCCTGCCCCATCTTCCCAAGGGATGACAATGCAGAGCAAGCCAAGCCCAGCACCGCCCTGGAGAGGCCAGTTGCTGCTGTGGAAGTTACCTATGGCGAACTCGTCAAAGGTGAGAGTGGTGAAGTTTTTGCCCAGAGCATTCGTGACTGTCAGAGTCACCTTGTACTTCACTGTCGAGAAGAGCTGGATGTATCTGATGTGACACCTGTTTTTGGGAACGGCATCCTTCTCACACACCATGTCTTTTGTGCCGTGTCTGGAAAGCAGAGATGAGAAGAACAGTTACCTGTGGATGCACCCAAGCTGCTGGAGGAAGAGGACAGACTGTGCAGCTCTGCATCCCCACTAAGACAATGGTCCCCATGCACCAGCCCTTGCTGCAGACAAAGGGCTGCTTTCCTCCTGCCAGGGAATTTTGGGGGCTCCTGTGTGTGAGGTTTTCTCCTAAGCCTACACAGAGGCTTCAGTGAACATCCTCATGTTGGCCCCAAGGAAAGAATGGGACCCTGCTGGGGTTGGGTTTGGGTCTGGCCCTCCCATGGGACAAACAAGGTCTCCTGATGGTGACACAAACCTCAGATAATACACGGCATCAGCCCGTATAAGGGCTGTGCCAGAACTCTGGCTCAGGGTAGGGAATGATGCCATGCCCATGGCCAGTTCTGGGTGGGAGACACTGCTGCTGCCCAACAACAGCCAGCTTACACCAGAAAAGAGCATGGATGTCCCAAATGTGCCAAAAACCAGCAGGCACAACATTCCCTACAGACAAGTGGTGCAGAGGCAATGGTCTTGGGAAGCGTGGAAAGGGGACCTGGGGCATGGGGACTCTCCTGGTCCCTTCTAAGGAGATTGAAACTTTCTTGGCGCAAAGTCCTGATCCCAAACATCCAGTTTGTATGTCCCCAGAAAATCCTTCCCCATACCCATTACTGGGACACTGATGCCATATGCTCAGCACAGGTCAGACCCAGTGCCCCAAGACTTCATGGCACTACCTGAGACCTGCTCCGGGCTGCGGGCACTGAAACTCACTCTGTTGCACCCTTTCTTCCCAGACACTTACATGACAGAGATGTTGAAGGAGTTGGGGATGTAGGTAGGAGTGGGCAGGTGCCAGCTGCAGTAGAAACCCTTCGGGTAGTTGTTGGACCGGCACATCAGCACTGGCTCCTTCGGGGGGGCTGCCAGGGAAAGAGAAAGGGTAATTAACCTAATTAACCTGCTGAGGTGGGGTTATCACCAAGTTCTGAGCAGAGGGATGACCCACCACTCCTAGCTGCTGCCAGACTGGGAAGGGAGAGTTTGCAAGGGGAGCCTGGCCTGTGCTTATCAGATGCTGGAATGATCTGGGGGTCTTTGTCCCATGTCTTCTGCTGAGGTCCTCCATGACACCTTGTTTTGGGCTGGGCTGTGCAAAGCTCACCTTCTCCTTGGGCAGCTCACTGCTTCTAATGAGGGATGGAGTGATAGAGATGGTTTGCAGGTACCAGGGGAAATCGTCTTCAGGGCTGTGACAGAGATGTGGCTGATGAGGAGGAGGTGCTGCTCTCTTGACCCCATTAATCTACACTGCTCACAGCTTTGTCTGCCACATCCCTGGGGAGTGATAAACTTATGGAGGGATGATCCTCCAAATGATCAGAGGTTGCCAAAGGGAGGAAGAAGGACCACTGGTAATATGAGGAGGAACAACGTGAAACCAGTGGAGAAAATCCAGCTCTGCAAGAGGACTAAGAATGTTAATACTTTTGGTGTCAGGAAGAGCATCCCTGGCTCTGCTGCACAGGCAAGAGGAGACAGCATGAGAGCACTCAGTGGGAGCAGCCTTCCTCTGGCCTCGTCGTCAGCTGATCCTAGAGGTTGGAGGCAGAAGAGGATTTTAAACCCAGTGAAGTGTTCACGCTGTACTTGGCTTTCCTGGATGCATGTGCAGTGTACTCTGCTTTCTGCAGGAGCACAGCAAGGGCTGCAGGAAAACTCTGCAAGATGCTGGGGGAAGGTGCATGCAAAGAATGAGATTAGATACCTTTTGGCTGATAAATTTTGCCCTTTTTGTTAAAAATCTTACCTGATCTGACACCAAAGTCAACTCTTCTTGGTACCCAAGCACTTGCACTGATTGCTAACAGCAGCACCCTGGCACAGTGCCTTGCCATAAAATACACTGGACTGGATGTGCACCAGGATTCCCCTTGGAAAGGTTGTCTGATCCTGTGGTGTTCCCTCTTTCCTTCCTTAGCCCTCATCCCCATCCATCCGCTGTGAATATCCCAGGACAAGTTCTTCTTTCCAAGCAGGTGGTTTGAAACAAACCGAGCAGACCCGGCAAACTCAGAGCCTCTTCAGCCCCACAGCCCGGGTGCCCCTGGGGCACGGCTTTCTCGGGAATGAGCTCCAGCTGCGGCTGGAGTCTACAGCCTGCTACGGTCTACAGAAGGGAAACCGAGGCACAGGCTTTGCGCACCGCCGGCGCCCTGGGGCAGGGCTTAGAGGGCGCAAACAGTTCATAAGGGAGCCAAGTGCAGCCGAGTCAGGGAGCAGGGAGGAGAGGGAGAGGGAGAGGGAAAGGGAGAGGGAGAGGGAGAGGGAGTGGGAGAGGGGCCGGCGGGAGGGAAGGCTGTGCCGCTGCGCTCCGCGCTCCTCCTGATGGCCATTTCAGCCTTCAGCCGACAGACGAAGGCCAGACCTGGTTAATGAGCCTCCGGGTTACATTATTCAAGCAGACCCTCCACATCAAAACAGAATGGCTAATGGCAAAGCCAGAGACAAGGGCCTGATCCCTGCTATAGCCCCATCCTCTTCCTCCTGCCCGCAGCCTCCTTAACCCCTTCCCTGCTGCGGGAGCAAGGGCAGCACTGCTGCTTGCGGGGTGCACTGGGGGTCGGGAGGTGTCCCGCAGGGGCTGAAGGGGTTCAGGGGGTTTGGGGACAGCCTCTGGGTGCCGGGTGACCGCGTGGTGGCACTGTGAGCTAACAGCACCTGCCCGGCACCCGGCAAACCGGGATGGGGCTGGGAATGTTGCACGGGGATGCTGGGGACACTGGGGATCCACCGTAGGTGACTCGCACACTCGCTGCTTGCGCTCAGCTGTTCCGTCCGTAAGCGGGAGTGGCAGGGAAGCCGGGCTGAAGCGGGCGGGGCTTTTTCCAGCATTCCTGGAGTCCTGCAGGGTCCAGCCCTACCAGCAAGGCCCAAGATGCTGCGCTGCTATGCGCCACAATTAGTCCATCTCAGGCTAATTTATCTCCCTTCTCTCCAGTATCTCTGTGATCTGTGCTAATTCCTCCGCTGAGGAGGCTGGGGCGGGCTCACTCCTCCAGGTTCATTTTGCTGGGAGGAGGAGGGAGGGCTGCACATCCTGTATCCTGCTTCGATCCCCACTCTGCAGCAGCCTTTGAAGATGCCCATTTCCATAGCATTGAATGCCGAGAAAATCCTGCCCTCTCCTTCTAGGCTGGTCCCCAACAGCAGCCCCAACCTTTTGTGCCCAGCACGCTCCACCTTTTACCCTCTGGTGTCTTTTAGCAAGCCAGAGGTCGAAGGAGAGACTGGGGAAGGGAGACAAAATGATCCTCGCATCCGTGCCCTCCTGATGCAGAGTTCAAGGACGGATGCAGCCAAAGGGAAGCTGCTGTATGAAGCCTGTCTCAGCCCAACCTTTGCCCTCTTTTTCTGGGCAGACACAAGCTGTCACATAGACACTCCTGCAACCTCCATCTCTGCAGAGAGCCATCAGTCCCAGAGCCACAGGTGTCCCAGGAGGGATTTGACAGGCAGATACCCCACTTTCCACCTTGCTGGGCAGCAGGTTCATGGCACGGTGTGAGGCCTGTGCAGTGTGCCACAGAGGGCTGTGACCATGACACCACATGGGTGACCGTGGCTACCACTGCCAGGCACCACAAAGGACAGGGCTGCAAGCCCCTTCTGAGCTGCCTTGCTGCACCAGGAGGGCTCTCTTTGCCCACCCAGCCATGGTATCTTCTCCAAGCTGGTGGCAGGTTCCTCATCTCCCTGTGGCAGATGGTGGCCTGCTACCTTGTTCCTCTCCCCTCCTCTCCCAGGAAAGGCACTCGCTGGCACAGCTCATGCTGCCCATCAAAGGCTCTTAAAGACAGCAAATAAAATTGCAGGCTCCAATCGATCCAGCGCGCTGTAATGCTGTCTTTGGAGGTGGGCCAGCCCATCAGGCCAACAGAGAGAGCAAGAAAGGCAATGGAGGAAAACAAAGCCATCAAGGGAGCAGCATTAAAGGCTTTTTCTGCCCTGAGGTTTTAGGCAGTGCTGCTGGGTGTGGGGTGTCCTGCTCCAATCTTCTCCATCCTCCCTCAGATGATGTCCAGCTCTCAGCACCTGCCCCACACCACAAACAGCCGGAACAACAGGTTGAGCTACTTGGGCACTCCTCCCCAGGCTCCTGCACACAGCCTCCCTAATTCTGGCAAATACTTACATCTGTGTTGCTTCATGGAGCTGCTGAACTTTGTAAAAGCAGAGCTCTTTTCCTTTTGCCACAAACAGCTCCTGCCCTCTCTAATCTGTCTATTAACCTCTTACATGGCAGGGAGCCACTTCTCCCATGTGCTCTGCTGATGTCCTCTCTGAAAACCCAGCATGTTTAATGCCTGGCTGTGGCAGCTTCCCAGAGGCTTGGGTTGCAACCAGCCTCGCTGCAAAAGCTCTGGGTGAGGTGAAGAAAGGCTCAGAGCTGAGCTCAGAGCTGAGCACATCGCATCTGGGCACATGGCTCACAAACTATGAGATGCTCCAGCAAAATCTGGGTCTGCCACAGCAGTGAAAGCTGGTGCCAGGGTCACTGTCTCTGCAGATCCCTGAAAAGACCAGTGGCAGGAATAGAGTTGGCTTTCCCACCACACAGTGCCCTGTGCTTTGCCTCCATTTAACTCTGTCTCTACAGCTTTTTGGAAACAGCTGTCACTTGACAGCTTCAGCACTTCTGCTCAGCTGGGGACAGCACCACGAGTGGTCCAAGAGGATGAAACAGCTCTGGATACACCAGTACAGAATCAGATTTTTGTTTCCCTCCTCATCTCTGAAGCCCAGCTGTCCTTGTACCCTCAGTCCCACTGTGCAGGGGGAAAGTGTGACCAATCCATTTTAGAAACCACTAAAAATGATGTACAAGAGCTTTTCCTAGCTCTGCTAGGTCATGAGATAATGGACATTAAAATCATGACACTTTTATATATAGAAAAGTTATTTTGGGTCACTTTTAGAGGCTTCTGAAATGGATCAGTTATAATTTTCCTCTCCTGCTGAGGGCTGAATGTACTAAAGATGCCTTGCTCCACAGGTGGAGGGATACAAAAAATAGCACCAATAAAAGTTTTAAGAGGCCTCTCAAACACTTCTGTAGGAGATATTTTTTCTGGTGCACTTGGGGCACATTCAGGTGCTGGGCTGATGGGGGATAATGAGCCCATAGTGTGCTTTTGGGGTCACCTGCATAACTCATCATCTTGTCTTGGGCCAGCAAAAACTCCAGGGTCCATGACAGCAGCATGTGCTTGAGCTAGAGGTACAGCTGTGACACAGCCTGCCTGCACATGGGCAGGAGCCCCGTGCTGCCCTCCACGGGGGGATAACCCCCCAACCAGTGCTGTTCTGCTGCCAAACTCCTGCTGTTTGCACCCCAAGTGCCCATGGCAGGAACACATCACCGCCCACAGACTTTTCTCACACCACTGGTGTGGTGTGGTGGGCACGTACCAATACAGCAAAAAAACCACCCAACTGACCAAAAGCAAAGCTGCAGAAGCTTGGACAGCACAATAGGAATCCACACGGGCACAAGATGCCAGCACTGAGCACTGGGCACAAGAGCAGCAGACCTTGCTAGTCCACACACGCATCTACACAGATGCTTTTGTTATGCACATGCTGGCTGCCAGCACGATGTATTATTTATCTGACACCGCTCTTCTAAAAGCCTGTTTGTGTACAGGAGGCTGGTAGGAAACAACAAAGAAAACAATGATGAATAAATCATATTTCTACTGCCAGGTGTACCAGGGGAGCATCTGTCTGCCATGTGCCACCTGCGCTGGAGTGCAGCATGGCTGTGGCTGGGGACCGTCCCTGCCATGGACCCAAATGTTTGGGTGCAACTGTGTTTTGTTGCTGGAGAAAGGGAGGGAGGTGAAGCTTTGAATTTGCTCTG